GGTGCTGTCACTGGTCCCATTATAATCCCACTGACCGTCTCTCTTCGTCTCCATCCAGGCTCCCTCACAGCAGCAGATGAGAATGTGGCCAGGCAGCGATGGCGGAGGTGGGGGTCAGGATCCAGGATACACCCAGTTGCTGCTCCATAAGCCAGCTGCCTCCCAACAACACCAGCGCCACTTCTTGGACCCGCCCCACCACCCACACCCAACTTACTCCCACCATGGGAATGGTGGCCGTGGCCTGAGGCAGGGTGGACAGACAGGCATCGGCGGAGGGGGGGGCCCACAGGGATCCTCGCCCCAGATGAGTGACAGCATGGATGTGAGTGTATCCCTGGGGCTGCACCACCTGGGGGCGGTGTCTTCCATGGAGGCCTCTCAGTTTGGCTCTGCATCTCTGCCCCTCGCTCTGCCAATCGGACTGTCTGCCTTCCGGACTCGGACGGCTCCCACCGCCCCAGGGCCACAAGCCCAGCCCCCTGAAGACTACTACCCCGCCTCCAACAACAATAACCCCACTGGGGGAGGCAGAGGGAGGCCGGACTCAGACGAGGGGCCAGCCAACTCTTGATAAAACCTGAACCATGCCCTAAAGCCATACAATTTTAACTACAACTACTACAACTACACACATACAGCCAGAGTTCAGAGACAAAGAGGTGAACTTTGTGCTGAAGGAGACTTTGTACTGCATGAGAGGAGGAGGAAGAAGGAGGAGGATGCTGGGAAAACTCCTTTTTCCTGTTTTAGTTTGTCTTTGTCGCGCCTGTAACTGGAAAGGAATGATTGTGACCAGTTTGTTTTTATTAATTTTAGTGTTGATTAATATCATTTGATTTTTCTCGGGTTTGAGGAGTTGTGTGTTCTGTGTGGTTGTTGTTTGAGTCTGGAGAGGAGGAGGAGGAGGATGAAGGGGAAAGAGAGAGAAGTTTCCCATTTTATTCCATGAGGTAGCTGCGAGCTGAAGGAGGGCTCGTGCTCGCAGCAGTTCATGTCTGCACACGTGCGTGCGTGCATGTGTGTTTGTACGATATGAGATCAGATTTGTAGCAGGCCCCCCCCTCGCTGATCTGGACGTGTCGAATTCAGGTCACAGGTGAAGTGAAAAGGACCCATTATGAAAGTAGGTGTAAATGCAGGCAGGAGGCGATACATATATATATATATATGCATATGTGTGTATATGTATGTGCTGCTACACGAAGAACACAGGCGATCTGACAGGTTGTGATTGAGGACTCTCTCGTTTTTCTTTGCGTTCGTGTTCTTCCTCTGATGTTTGGTCGCAGCGGCACGGACAGCGAGAGGGAGACGGAGGGAGGCGGTGGTCACGGGACACTGACGCCTTGCTGACACTCACAGGGATCTCCTCCTCCTCCTTCTCCGCCTCACGCTCTCCCTGCTTTCCTCTTCCTCTCCTTCTCCTGTTGTGTTTCTCCTCCAGACAGCTCCTCCTCTCTGTGCTGCTAATCACCATGACAACTGGTCCGGATTGCTGCTAAAGATCCAACACAGATCAATAAAAAAAATAAAAAGAAATAGAAACAGAAATTTAAAAAAAAACTTTTTAACCCTTCTGCTTAAGAGAAAAGGATAAAGTAAGAACCACTGCATCTCAATGTATTTATTACTATTTAACAAGAAAAAAACAAACTGAAAGTAACCCTTTTTTCTGCTCTTCTTTGTTTGGTTGCCTTCTTTCTGCAGGTGAGCTCTGATTGGCTATTGTAACAGTGACAGTAACTGGTGACATGGGAATGCCACTGGTTGTGGGGCTGGGTGGAGGGTAAGGGTTGGGGCAAAATAAAGTTGGATATATAATAAGAATAAAGAGTATACTTTTGCACACCAAAGTCAAACAAACATCAGCTTTCTGCTTTTCTTCCTCCTGATCTGATCGTCGCGCCCTGTCAGGTTGAATGCTGCACTTTTCCGTCCTCGCGTTACTCCTCGTACTTTATAAAGAAGTGTGGACATCCACTGAACTAATGAAACGTGTCATCATAACGACTGTTACACATGAAACAGGCTACAATAAGCTTTTTGTCTTAATTAAAGGTGATGAAGAAGCGTGAAAATGAGCTACTTGTAGTTGTTAGCTCGGTGCTAATGCTACCACAAACTAATGGGAGAAAGGAGACTTCCTACTGCATGTCAACCACTGCCTGATCACTGACCTCACACAGGTGAGTTGTGTGTTGTTCTTTGAACTTGTTGAGTTGTGAGCTGGCTCTGATGTCTGCAGCACTTATGAAGGTCATTGCCAAAGAAACTGGATGTACAGCATGTCGGCCCTGCAAGTAATGGATCTGTTGTGATGACCTGATGGAAAGAAGCAGCCGCACTTCTGAGT